CAGGGCGCTAAGAAGTTATGTCCGCAGTGTAACACCATCACTTCCCCTGGAGACCTGAGGCGTGTATATTTGTGAAGACCAGCTTTGCTCCGACAGATGGGACTTCCCTCAGGAACCTCATGTTTCCCTTTTGGTGGTCCCTGGAACTCCTTCAGGGGCTGAAATGTGAGAGACCCTTTTTAAATGTTTGGAGCAAAGGAACTTGTAAGCAGAAGATACTTTTCCTGATTGGGGGCCATGATGGAGAGGAGCTATATAATAAACTTTGTGGCTCCCAAAACCTCATCTGCTTTATCCTTCTCAGCACTAAGGGAGGGAGAGACACACAATTCATTCCCCTGGTGCCCCTCTCCGAACCTCGCTCCCATTTTTTCTTTTCCTTGTTCCTGCTGCTGATTTTGTTTTTTATTTTAATTTTTTTGGTGAGACCAGAGGATTAACCCAGTCGATTTTAAATTGTTTGTTTACATCAATTTACCTTCTGCATTGTCCTTCCACACTGTGCATCTGAGGGGCACGCTCTGCTCTCCGAAATAATAAAGGTGTCAGGACTGAGAACCGAAAAGATGACACCTAGTTGTCTTTGTTTATATTTTTTTTTTCTCCCTCGATTTTCTCACTGTTTTTTCCTCTCTACGTTTTTTTTCTGTGTAAAAAGGCAGAGATAAGAAGAAAACTGAAAGAAAAAAAATGCGAAGCACATGTATTATAAATTATATGTTTACAATGTTGTGTATAAAGTGAATAGACTCAAACTGTTACCCAATATCTTCCTTTTATGGGCTGGAGGGGCGTTTCATTTTTGTTCCTGTTTGTGTTTTTGTTTTTTTTGTTTTTGTTTTTTTATAGAAATGGGTTTAAATGTAAATGAATAATTTATTTTTCATTTTTTTTTTTTTTTTTTTAAAGCAACACTCATCCTCAAATGAAATTACTCATTAGTGTAATAACATCAATCCAAATATTAATAATTAATAATACCCTTGTTGATATAGTGTGAATTCCAAGCGTCCAATTTCTCTGTTCTCTTGTCAGTTGGCTTGCCCTGCTGTGATCAGCTGACATGCACTGTTAAAGTAATGGGTGCATGATATGATTGGCACAGCTTGCTAAAGATTTTAACCCCTCTGCTGCTGTGGAGCACCAAATCCTCTGCTAATGAACAGCTGTGATCTTTGTTGGTTTAAAACGCTGAAGGCGATGGGTATAAGGGTGTCATAAAGCCGTACGGGCTGCTTGTGTTAAGGAGCGTTCTAATAATTCCCTGCTGATTCTTATGATCCTTTTACACAGAAAGGAAATGGTATATTTGACTGTTTTTAGCGCTTTGGTATTGAAGAGACTTGTTCCGCCTGTGGACTTTCTCGTTCATCGTTCACTTGGGGCCAGTGATTTTCTTCCCTCAACGAATGGACGTTTTACAGCTGTTGACTGTTTTAGACTCTAAATACATGCCTGGCTTGCAGATCATGCTTTGCGCTGGCACTAATGGTAGATTGCTGTGGATTTTCATACACTCCATACATAAATTTAGTATCCTGATTTCGATTTTGTGGAAAGGGTTTTTGTTTTTTTATTTGTTTTGTGATTGCAATATTGGTATATATATATATATTTTTAAGCATACCCTGATGATGTCCTGTTAAGTCCAGATTTAAAGTAAAAAGGAGAAAAACACAAAATTGAATTGTCACTTGCAATGTGAGCGAATATGGGGCCGTGAAACATTTAGCCACAACCTCTAATATTAACCAAATAAAAATGGTGCTGCAATTGTCATGGAAACCCTAAAACTGCTGGAGGGCAATATTACCACTGTTCCCTCTAAGTACTTTTTATGAACAGTCCAGCATTGAAATGGTACAGAAGATGCAAAGAGCAGGGAGTAATTTATTTTTTAAATAATTTGAAGGAACACTATAGGGTCAGGAACACAAACATGTATTCCTGAACCTATAGTGTTACAATTATCTGGCCTCTCCTTGCCTTAATTATAGTAAAATCTTACTTGCATTCCAGTCTGCTAGTGCTGGCTCTGCCCTGATCTGCTTCCTTGACTGACATCAGAAGCTATGACTTGAGCCAATCACAATGCTTTCCCATAGGAAAGCATTGGATTGGCTGGAATTGCCAAGGAGGTGGGGCAGAGGGTGGAGCAAAACATCACCCTGGCCAATCCGCGTCTCCTCATAGTAATGCATTAAATCAATACATCTTTATGAGGAAAGTGTTTCCATGCTGAGGGTGGAGACACTGAATGTCCCCAGGAAGTACCTCTACATTGCAGCCTAGGGATACCTCCACTGGCCACTAAAGACTGCATTGTCTCTGAAAAGACTTTGTTAATTGCAAAAAGCCTGCAGACACTGATTATACTCACCAGAACAAACACAATAAGCTGTAGTGATTCTGGTGACTATAGTGTCCCTTTAATATGTTTTTAATACCTGACTGCCCACAAAATGTTATCAGAGGGAACATTATTAGTAATTAATTTTATAGTTCCAGAACTCTTCATTGTGGTAGTTGACCTCATTCTCAGAGCAAATGAGCTACAAAACCCAGTGCACAATAAGCTGTTTTTGACTACTTACACAGTGCAATGTAGTCCACAGAGTGCTAAGTTAGACTATCCCCGAACCAGTATTATTTAAAAATATTTTCACACTTTCAAACTGTTATTTATATAAAGGCACCCCATTTTGGCAAGTCTTATCCTAGCAACCTAGTGCTGCTCTTATGAGATTGAAAAATCCTTCCTCTTGGGACTCTCTGCAGTGCAAGGCTAAGTAGGGTCCTGGAATGAGGCACCTGTGACATGGAGGGGTGCAAAACTGTGGATTCCGCCTGGACTAGAGCAGGCGTTAGATTGCTCTGATTGGAACTGGCTGTAATGGGGTACATTGACGTTGTGGCAGGTTTATGCAATGGTGTGATCATATACTGTAACTAAACCCATTATTGTTGCTGAGGTTTGGGGTATTAAAAAAAAAAAATTTCATTCCTTGAGCTTTGAAATTGCTGTTTAGTAAATGAGTGCGTGTGCTGGATCTTGCTTGTTATAGGTGCATATAAATATTTCACATCACACCAGGGGGATACTGGGTTTACATTTTAGTCGGCTAAATTCTTACTGTTGATTACCTGTACAGCAGGTGTAATATATACAGAACAAATTCTCTAAGTCAAAAACTAAGAAAATGATTGAGTCTGAAAAGTGTTTGTGCAGTTTTATTTAACCTGTAATATTCTGCAACGTCTACATCTGTTCCATAGACCCACACAGTGCCATGCTTTCCATCTATGCTTTAGTGAAAATCTGACTGATTATTGATTCCCCCCCCCCCACCCTCACCAATACACAGCTGAGCTCCTGCGTGAAGGCCTGCTTCCCAGAGCAGCTGAGTGTGAAGGGAAATTTTACATTGGGGATAATTTGAAGTCAGTGGTTAGCCATGTCCCTCTCTGGGCAGGTAATAGTTAAATGTATGAAATTGATTCTATTAGCTATGTATTGGAAACAGCAGGAATTAGGTTAACATGATGACCTGCAGCTAGCCAGTTGACATGAGTTAGTGACCCACATCCTGAGCATCTGTTGGGCTGTGTAAAGCACAGTGCTCACTTTTGCCCTTAAGGGGAACTAGGAGCACACGGTGTCTGTACATAATGCATCGGGGTTTATTTAACCAGGGATTGCAGAAAAATGGGCAGTTAATTGGAAATGTTAAGACCAAAAAAGTTCCAACTCTGTTATATTGCTCAAAAATGTCACATTTCTCCCCACATTTCTCCATTTAGTGGAATAAACCTCAAATGAGTTATCCATAAACGATTTACATAATTTATGCCAAATTAGTGTAATTTTGGAATTTATTTGTTGTGAAATTTGTAATTCCAAAATATTGTGTGAATATTTGTGGATTTACTCTCCCAGACTGTGAACATTCCACTATAAATAGATTTTAGAACACGAAAACGTGTAATTTTTTTTTTTTTTCTGCAGGTGCAAAGTGACAGAAATGTCTATTTTACACGTGTTTCACTCTTGCCCAGCTGTGATGTAAAATCAGGATACAAGCCCTTAAAAACATTAGAATGTACACAAAACATTGTCCTGTTTAATCAACTATGCCAGAATAGTATACTTTCCATTTACAAATAGCTCAGTGAAAGGAAAGGATAGGAAGCGATTATAAATAAATACACATGATCCAGTCATTTTGTCTGTGTTTTTGTGGTAAGTAAAAAATAAAAAAAATAAAAATTACACCAAAAAGGACCCAGCTTTTTTTTTTATATATATATATATATATATATATATTTTTTTTTTTTTAACATACATTTACTATACTGGATGGCAAAGATTTGTAGTGCATTAAATTGTTATTTTGCAAACTCCCCTTAAAAGTTAATTCAGCGCACAGATTAGTGAACAGATATTAATTTCATATTAACTAGATAATCTTAACACTAGAAGGTCAGCATTATTTATAAAGGAATTTTTCATTTATTCGTTATTACTTCGGGCTTTTGGCAATTTTCTGACCAATGCTGAAACTACCATTATAGTCTGCTATATAAGCAGTAATGTTTTTTTTTTTTTTTTTTTCCTCAACCTGTTTGATTTAGAAATTAAATATTAATTCAAAGCTGCGTATTTAACAGGTGGCTGCAGGCTTGAGTAAAGGAGATATTAACCTTTTAATTACAAAAAATATATATATAAAATATTTTGGAAAGTTCCTGATGCAGTTTAGTTTTTATCATGAATAGCTTGACGTCATGATATATTTGAGTGTTCTGGTTTAAATGGAGATCTTCCATCAAGCGAAGTGATAAAATGAATTCAAAACAATAGAACAAAGAATCAAATTCTAGGTCCCACTATTTGACGGTCTTTTGGCTGCGCGTGGTCCCTTGTTTTAAGAAGACATAATGAACCAGCACATTACATTAAAATACCTTCTGAATCTACCTTTTAAAAAAAAAAAAAAAAGCTTCTATCTCCCTGCATTTCATTCAAGACAAGAATGGGCACTCTTAAGCTAGTTCCTGGCCTCCTGTAGCTCTCCATGGTTGATCTAGATAAACATGCATATCATTTATTTCAATGGAGATTGCTCTACTGTTGGAATGTGTGCCATATTTGCACCAATAACGAGAAATTCAGTTCAATTCACAAAAACATGGCCTTGACTGTAAACCTGTTTCTGAAATCTTACTAACAGCTACTTGTGTGCTAACAGATTTGATCTCTGTATAATGGAAGATGGTCATTGTAGCAGGTTGATCACATTTACCTAAAACTTGCAGGGATGGTGCAGTTTGTCAGGAAGGAATCCTCTATAAAATGTACTTGATGAATTTGGAAAAGTCCAGATTGCTGATCAATCATCAAGCTTGTTATGACCGAAACCCAAGGTATTCAAGTCCGTAGCATGGTCTGCTCCAGTGTGGTCATCGCCCCAATTTCTAGTACTGTCAAACTAAGCTGAAACTTGAGTAAGATCATAAAACCGTGAATATTAGTGAGTTACACCTAACCGGCCTGAGAATAAAATATTTATTTTTAAGATTGGGATATGGAAATTAGGAGATGGTTTGACTGCAAACAATGAAAGAACTACATTCCAGTTAAACATAAATGTTCATCCTCAGGAAAGTTATTTTTTTTTATTAAACCGATGCACACAGCCATGAAATAAGTTTTACATTCTAAAGTCACACATAACTACAGGGTTTAACAGCGAAAACATGAATACCATATCATACATTGAAATATAATAAAAATAAGATTGTTACAAGATCAGATATGTGCAAGGAGACAAGAAGGACCTCCTTACACCATAACCTTATAGCCGCAGTTATAATACACAGTGTGCAGGGAGACAGGGGACCTCCTTACACCATAACTACTTATAGCTACAGTTATAATACACTGTGTGCAGGGAGACAGGGGACCTCCTTACACCATAACCTTATAGCTGCAGTTATAATACACTGTGTGCGGGGAGACAGGGGAACTCCTTACACAATAACCTTATAGCTGCAGTTATAATACAGTGTGTGCGGGGAGACAGGGGACCTCCTTACACCATAACCTTATAGCTGCAGTTATTATACACTGTGTGCGGGGAGACAGGGGACCTCCTTACACCATAACCTTATAGCTGCAGTTATAATACACTGTGTGCGGGGAGACAGGGGACCTCCTTACACAATAACCTTATAGCTGCAGTTATAATACACTGTGTGCGGGGAGACAGGGGACCTCCTTACACCATAACCTTATAGCTGCAGTTATAATACACTGTGTGCGGGGAGACAGGGGACCTCCTTACACCATAACCTTATAGCTGCAGTTATAATACACTGTGTGTGGGGAGACAGGGGACCTCCTTACACCATAACCTTATAGCTGCAGTTATAATACACTGTGTGCGGGGAGACAGGGGACCTCCTTACACCATAACCTTATAGCTGCAGTTATAATACACTGTGTGCAGGGAGACAGGGGACCTCCTTACACCATAACCTTATAGCTGCAGTTATAATACACTGTGTGCGGGGAGACAGGGGACCTCCTTACACCATAACCTTATAGCTGCAGTTATAATACACTGTGTGCGGGAGACAGGGGACCTCCTTACACCATAACCTTATAGCTGCAGTTATAATACACTGTGTGCGGGGAGACAGGGGACCTCCTTACACCATAACCTTATAGCTGCAGTTATAATACACTGTGTGCGGGGAGACAGGGGAACTCCTTACACAATAACCTTATAGCCGCAGTTATAATACACTGTGTGTGGGAGACATGGTACCACCTTACACCATAACCTTATAGCTATAGTTATTATACACTTTGGGCGGGGAGACAGGGGACCTCCTTACACCATAACCTTATAGCTGCAGTTATAATACACTGTGTGCAGGGAGACAGGGGACCTCCTTACACCATAACCTTATAGCTACAGTTATAATACACTGTGTGCGGGGAGACAGGGGACCTCCTTACACCATATACCAGCATAGGCAGTTATAATACACAGTGTGCAGGGAGACAGGGGACCTCCTTACACCATAACCTTATAGCTACAGTTATAATACACTGTGTGCGGGGAGACAGGGGACCTCCTTACACCATAACCTTATAGCTGCAGTTATAATACACTGTGTGCGGGGAGACAGGGGACCTCCTTACACCATAGGGGGCTGCAGTTATAATACACTGTGTGCGGGGAGACAGGGGACCTCCTTACACCATAACCTTATAGCTGCAGTTATAATACACTGTGTGCGGGGAGACAGGGGACCTCCTTACACCATAACCTTATAGCTGCAGTTATAATACACTGTGTGCGGGGAGACAGGGGACCTCCTTACACCATAACCTTATAGCTGCAGTTATAATACACTGTGTGCGGGGAGACAGGGGACCTCCTTACACCATAACCTTATAGCTGCAGTTATAATACACTGTGTGCGGGTAGACAGGGGACTTCCTTACACCATAACCTTATAGCTGCAGTTATAATACACTGTGTGCGGGTAGACAGGGGACTTCCTTACACCATAACCTTATAGCTGCCGTTATAATACACTGTGTGTGGGAGACAGGGGACCTCCTTACACCATAACCTTATAGCTGCAGTTATAATACACTGTGTGCGGGGAGACAAGGATCTCCTCACACCATAACCTTATAGCTGCAGTTATAACACAGTGTGCGGGAGACAGAGGATCTCCTCACACCATAACCTTATAGCTACAGTTATAACACAGTGTGCGTATGTAGTTATGTAGCTGTAGTTATTTAACAATGACTATGCTATAAACAGAAGGAAATGCTTGAAACTTTATGGAATAAAATGTTATTAGTGTTTTAGAGTTTAAGTAGTATATATCAAATGAAAGATAAAGGTACAAACTAATAAGATTTTCCACAAAGCTTTTCCCTTGCCCTGATTGGATTCGTCAGGAGACGAGAACTAAGAAAAATATTTTTTTAAATAATGACAGCAGAACATCTAGCATTGGCCTTCCAGCTGTCATACAGAATTCCCCATCATTCTCCTGCAGGTCCATTATTAGAGGGACAAAGAAAATAATTTTTCATTTAAATGGAATTACTTTTGAGATTAATCTCAAATTTCTGTTTAGTGAATAAACCCGGGATTTATGTCAAGCCAAACATTAGCAACATTGATCCTGCTGAAGGATTTATTAACAATCACTATGAAGATAAGAAAGGATTTCACGAGAGGCTCGTATAGATAGAAAGTTTGGTGGGATTATTTTATAAAGGAACACTACTAATGTTAGGAATACACATTTGTGTATAGTGCCCTAGTCACCGTTTAAGTGACTGGGCCCCCACTGCAAGGATTTACTTATAATTTCTCCATTCCAGCACTGGTCTATTTCAGGGGAGCTCCTCGGGAGACCATTGGAAAGCATTGAGAGGCTAATGGGCATGCTTGGCAAACCGTCATGATGCACCAATCAGATGGTCCCTTTGAGACCATTTGATAGAAATGGTGGAGTTTTACTTCACTATTTCGCAAAAGAGCTATTAGTAGCTGTTAGAAGGACAGCCACTAGGGGCAGGTTTACACTGCAATCTAAACATTGCTGTTTCTATTCTGGCAATATTTACAGCACATGGCACCCAGAACTTGAGATGTAGGGGTATTGGTTACTATATTGTTCCTTAAGTACAAAATACAACCATTAACATATTTAATATTCTCTACGGAGTATCTTTCTCAAGATGTTGGTTACATTTGGTCTATAGCTGAGAAGCTGTGTTGGACTATCACCCCCAGAGGATCATGGGAGGAAAAAACTGATAAATAATAGAGCAGGGATTGGCTGTCATCGGCTCTTCATATTCAGCTTAAAAGTAGCTCTCTGCCCAACAGAGGGAGGAGCAGTCCTCCCTCCCGCCAACCCCGCCCATCCCAATGATGAAGACCCCCTTTATTAGTTTAATCTTTCAGTATATCTATACAATAATTAATGGACTGGTTTGCAGTCAGAATTAAAAAAAAAAAATACTAGAAATGGGGAAAAAAATATAAATTATCACTAAATCCAGACACCCAAAACGTATTTCGCCAAAGCAGAGAATCCAAAATGGCCACTAGGATGCAGCTAGTTCAGTAACTTTGGGCCATATGTACAGCAAGGGCTTCTGAGATAAAGCTCTTAAAGGAGAACAATCATCAGGAAAATGTAATCGGTTTCCAGAGTGATTGCTCCACATATAAAACTTTGCCCTGAATTTCTCTTACATATATGGCTAGATGGTGCTCAGCAGTAGCAGACAGATTAGACGGTACAAAATCCTCTCTAACATGCTGTCTTACCCAATGGTAAAATACTTTTTAAATTACTATTTAACGTGTGCTGTTTTTTTCTTTATTTCTCAATACGAGGACGTTGTGGAAATGTATGTTTTGTAATTTTTTTGGGGAAAAAAACAATATATATATATATATATATATATATTAAAAAAAGAGAACTTAATTTCTTCCAAAAAAAAAAATTAAAAAACCCCTTAATTAGTTAAAATAAATAAAACATTTGCCCAAAGAAGCCGTTCAGTGGTGATTATGGTGTGTGTCGGTGTAAATTATATCAGAACTGGAAAAGGTATTTGTCATTCCCATTTGTAAACTATATTTGACATTAAACAATTTAACGCTTACGTGTGTTTATTACCTTTCACTCAATCTTTACATTTCCAAGGAACCTCGTCACTGGTTTGTATTTTTATTTAGTGTGATTCGCAAATACGATTTCAAAAAACTTGGAAAATCTTAATAATTCATTTTGTAGGCAATGCAAAGACGCATTCTGATAAATATTAGTCTCTGTTAAAGATTTATGAGGTCAAAAAATGTAAAATAAAAATGAAATTGAGGCAATTAGGCATATTCTATGTCAGTTGGCAAAAGACCAAAGATTAGAGATTTCAACACATGGAAGAAATATGCGACTATTAGGCTTCCCTATAATTAAAAAGAGGTTCAATTAAAAGAGCAGCTGTATATCATGTGCGGAATACAAGGCAGAAATACTGAGGTCAGTGGTTTCACTGATTAGCCTCCCTGCAGAGGTGGTAAAGGCTCCTACATACAATGCTTAACTCAAAGTTTTCTGCTGTTTAGATGCATCCTGGATCTACATGAATTTATCAGAAAATATTGTAAATGTATTATACGGAAGGTAATTACCTATCTAGATTTAGTCTGAGGCAAAGGAAAGGCTTTTTTACCGTGAGAACAATAAGGATGTGGAATTCTCTGCCTGAAGAAGTGGTTTTATCAGAGTCCATACAGATGTTTAAACAGCAACTAGATGCATACTTGCAAAAACAGAATATTCAAGGATATCATTTTTAAATTGTGGGGTAATCACTTCTTGATCCAAGGGTAAATCTGACTGCCATTCTGGGGTCAAGAAGGAATTTATTTTCCTAGCTTGTTCTTGGAAGGGCTTCAAACTGGGTTTTTTGGATCAACAGCAAAAAACAAATGTGAGGAAGGCTGAACTTGATGGACACATGTCTCCTTTCAGCCTGAGTAACTACTGTATGTAACTATTATACATCTAAACCTCTCGGAACTGTCTGTAGGATAGAACATAACACCAATACTGCAGTTAAACCCCTGCACAAGTTTATTAAAATAAACACAGAAAGAGAGAGAGAAAAGTAGCGTTTATTTTAAACCTGGTATATTTCGTTAGCACATTCTTAGAACAAGGCATCAGTCTAGTTTGTAAACTCCTGTTAATGGACACAAAAAATGGCCATATTTACACAATCTTCATTTCTTTAAGCCTTCATCCTTTACAAAAATAAAAAGGTTTAATTTATTTATTTAATTTTGCAGTATTCACTATTTTATCCAGGACCTCAAATGATGTAGAAACACACGTTCTATTTTTGTCATATAGAATAAGTATGAGAAAATGTACACGTAAAACGATCAGCTGGGTTTTGTACAGATACATTGTCATCAGACCAGGTAGTAGTCTGTGACCAGTGCTCCTGTAGTTTGAAACCTTCAAAATAAAACATTGTGGATTCTAGAAACAATGTTTACATTGAGGGGTTAAATATAGAGCGGACTTTCAGACAGCCACTAGAGTCAATTCTGCTGCAGTGCCCAAGAAAACTCATGTGACCAAATACAGCTCACATGAAAGCATCGGGTTTAATGATTTCCTATGAGAACATTGGATACACCGTGGGCAATCACCGCGCATGTGCCTCAGACCCCAATGCTTCTCTATGAGGAGCATTGGACTGGGTCAGAGATGAGGAAGCAACACCTTATTGATGACGCCATGGTAGGTGGAGAGGTGAGCAACGCCAAGAGAGTCTCTTTACTGCAAATAGGGGGAGGGGAGGACACTAAACTATGAACTAGGGCAGTATAGCATTAGGTGTTATGAAAGAACTTGTTTCCTGTACCTGTAGTCATCACTAATGATGGCTGTGGGAGTTGACAACGTAAAGGGACATTATAGTCACCAAAACAACTTTAGCTTAATGAAGCAGGTTTAGTGCATACAGTGGCGTACTAAAGGAGGGGAGGGTGGAGAGGGCGGTCTTTGACAGGGGCGGCAAAATGGTCTTATGTAAAGTGATCGGAGCGCTTACAGGAGTCTCCACGTTCATTTCACATCCAGCAGCAGCAGGTCCTCTGTTCTTGCGATCTGCAAGAGCGTTAAGCAGGTTGCTATGGCAATGCTCAGCGGCAACGCTATCAGTGGACCTGCTGCTGGAGGTGGAAAGAATGTGAAGATTTTTGGGCCCCACTGGACAACCATGCTGTACAACCGGACCACCAGGGAATGTAGTGTATCCCCCCCTCCCTGGACTTAGGTTAGAGTCAGGGAGGGAAGGGAGAACCCAAACAATACACACGGCTCACTCCTCAACACTTATCCCACGCAACACACTCACTGCATACACTGTATACACTATATATACACACACACACTGCATACACTGTATTCACACACACTGCATACACTGTATACACTATATATATATACACACACACAGTGCATACACTGTATGCACACACACACACACACACACACACTGCATACACTGTATACACTATATATATACACACACACACTGCATACACTGTATTCACACACACACACACACACACACTGCATACACTGTATACACTATATATACACACACACTGTATTCACACACACACACACTGCATACACTGTATACACTATATATACACACACAAATGCATACACTATATACACACACACTGCATACACTGTATACGCATATACTGCATACACTACAGAAACACACACTGCATACACTATATACGCACATACTGCATACACTATTTACACACATACTGCATACACTACAGAAACACACACTGCATACACTGTATACACTATATACACACACACTGCATACACTGTATTCACACACACACACACACACACTGCATACACTGTATATGCATATACTGCATACACTACAGAAACACACACTGCATACACTATATATACACACACACACTGCATACACTGTATTCACACACACACACACTGCATACACTGTATTCACACACTGCATACACTATATATACACACACACACACACACACACACACACACACTGCATACACTGTATTCACACACTGCATACACTATATATATATATACACAGACACACACACACTGCATACACTGTATTCACACACACATACTGCATACACTGTATACACACACACACACTGCATACACTATATACACACACACACACACTGCATACACTGTATACGCATATACTGCATACACTACAGAAACACACACTGCATACACTATATACACACATACTGCATACACTACAGAAACACACACTGCATACACTATATACACACACACTGCATACACTATATATACACACACTGCATACACTGTATTCACACACACACTGCATACACTGTATTCACACACTGCATACACTATATACACACACACACACACACACTGCATAAACTGTATTCACACACTGCATACACTATATATATATACACACACACACACACACACACTGCATACACTGTATTCACACACACACACACACTGCATACACTATATACACACACACACACTGTATACGCATATACTGCATACACTACAGAAACACACACTGCATACACTATATACGCACATACTGCATACACTATTTACACACATACTGCATACACTACAGAAACAAACACTGCATACACTATATATATACACACACACTGCATACACTTTATATATATATACAAAAATGCACTCCAACTGCACTCCTTGCACTCCTTGCACTCCAACTAAACAAATTATTATTAAATACCCGGTGCCCAGTAATAACAATACAGAAAAATCTAAATAATACTGGCACTCTAGGCTTTCTTCATCCGATTTAATTGGTAAATCCAAAGATGTCGACATCTTTGGATTCACAAATTAAATCGGATGAAGAAAGCCTAGAGTGCCGGTATTATTTTGATTTATATATATATATATATATATATATATATATACACACACACACACACACACTGCATACACTATATATATACACACACACACTGCATACACTTTATATATATATATATATATATATATATATATACATACACACACACACTGCATACACTATATATGCACACACTGCATACACTATATATACACACACACACACACACACACACTGCATACACTATATACACACACACACTGCATACACTATATAAACACATTGCATACACTATATATGCACACAGACACACACACAAACACTGCATACACTATAGACACACACACTGCATACATTATATACACACACACACTGCATACACTATACACGCACATACTACATACACTATACACACACACTGCATACACTATATATATATATACACATACACACACACACTGCATATACTATAAATGCACACAATGCATACACCCTACACACACACACACACTATATATACACACGTACACTACATACACTATACACACAAACACACACACTACATACACAACACAAACACACACTGCATCCACTACACACACACAAACTGCATTCACTGTACACACACTGCATGCACTGTACACACACTGCATCCACTAAACAAACACACACACTGCATACACTATACACACACACACACACACACACTTATACCTGTGTGTCTGTGTACCTGTATGTCTGTGTATCTGTATGTGTGCTTGTATCTGTGTAACTGTATGTGTGTCTGTGTATCTGTTTGTGTGTCTTTGTATCGGTGTGTCAGTGTTTGTATCTGTGTATCTGTATGTATGTGTATATGTATGTGTGTCAGTGTTTGTCTATAGCTATGTGTGAATGTGTTTCTATCTATCTGCTTGAGTGCCAGTGTGTGTATTTGTGAG